ATAGGTTGTCTATCTCTCTTGCACGCATGTAAGCTAAGAGTTTGCGCATGCGTGCCATGGCGACTACGTCACAATGAGTAAGAGCAAGATAGCTTCATTTTCTGTTTCTTTCTACAAAGACGTAGGACTAAGGGAGTAATTACCTGTCTTTAAATTGGGATATTTCCTACAGGTAAATATTTATAAATATAAATTCAACACCAAAATTTAAAAAATAAATTTAAAATTCATATGAAAAAGAAAATTTTTTTAAATAACCCGTTTTAAGCGAAATATCGAGCAAAAACCGTTTTCACCCCTTGATTTTTAATAGAAGGGATGAAAAAAAAAATTTTTTGTTACCCTACGATTGTTCTTTGTAGTCTTTATAAACATAATTAAAAAAAAAATTAAAAAAGTCCAATTTTTATATTTTTTATTGAATTTTCATTTTTTGAGTACTTTGAACCGTCGTAGGGGTGAAAGGGTGCGTTTTAGGGGAAAAATGGTCTGAGAGAGATAGGCCTAAAATTTTATGCTCTACAACTTTTATTTGAAACTTTTTTTGATATTTTCAATATATAATCCAAAAATCGTATTTTGGGGTAGTTTTTAATTTTTTTCACCCCTTTCCCGGTGGTTGAGAACTTTTTTACTTTGCCCACAGTTTTGTACGCATTTTTCTGATAATTTCCATATTTTTTCAGCCGTATAGCTCAAAAACCCGATTTCAGGGCTATTTTGACTGGACTATATGCGCATGCGCAATAAAACGACCGTTACTTTTCGAGCCATGCCGCATGGCATGTAAAAGTATAGCGCGTAAATCATGCAGGTCGCCCGCGCTCTGCGTATCAGCTGACGGTTTTTCCACCGACATACAGCCAGCTGACGATTTTTTTATTTAAATAATTATATTAACTATCAACACTATAAATTTCAGCCGGGTTAAAATGACTGAAACTAAAAAATTTTTTGACGTGTTTTCGGTGCTTCCGTTGGCCCACCCACCGCTGGTGCGCCAGCTGACAGTCACTATTCTTTACAGCGCAACGAAATTTAACATTCTACAAATTATGGTCAGGGTTAAAATGACTGACTGAAATATATCTCTGGCTCCCGGGCTAATATAGGAGTATTACATTTATGAATTTTTACCGTATTTCAATTGTCACGGGGATCTAACGATACTTCATATTTGAGTGAAGTATATACGTTACTGAGTATTAGGTAGGGCGCATGCATGGGAAAAGTTTAAAACTTGATTACAGATAACTGTATATGTGTGTATAATAGTTTGATACGATTTGGTATAATAGAATACTTTGTTCAGAAAAAATTTGATTAATCTTATTATAACATTATATTTTGATCTTTGTCCAATATAATTACATGCAAAATAGCACTATAACATTACACATATATAACTAGTAGAGATAATTATTCATTTCTTAAATGATATTAAATATACTTTACATACTATTATACTGTGTCAATCTTGAGAGTAATCCTTTAACATACAGATATAACAATTTTTCAAAAACATTATATATCAACATACGTTCTCTGCGCTTAATACAATAAGATCATTGGTCCTTAATAGGAGTTGGTATACAATATATAACATTTCAAAACATATATTATGAAATCTACAGTTTCTTTATATATAGTTGTTCTCTTGCATGTTAATGCTGTTGCTGATATATTTTATCTTTACCTTTAAGGTCAGGTACATTTCAAATAACGTGGTAATGACCATTTTTCTTATAACTTGCTTCTTTTTACAATATAAAAAGAACAAAAATATCCAATTTATGTCATTTTTTAAACAAAATTAATAAACCTATTAATAAAGCAATAGAATTGAATTAAAATATCTCGATATACTAAAACAAAAAAGATATTTGTATGGCGAAAATATGAAATTCGCATCTTATGCGTGTTATCTTAATTATTGCAGTAGTGAGCAATTAATTTGGTTTAATTGTTATTTTTTTTTTTTTTTTAACGATACACAAAACAATTTTGTATCAGTTTTGCGTAGTTTTTAATTGTTTCATCTAAATCTAGCCGTGTCTGTATATATTAATTCCTGTATATACTTTAATGAAAAATATTGTATTATACACATAAAAATATAATTTACAGATTTTAGAATAAGTATTATATAACAGGGCATAAATCATTGCTTTTTCTGTTTTAAAGAAATTTCATAATGTCAAAACGATATCTTCTTATGGAATCTCTTTTTTTTTCTTTTCGATTTTAAGTACACTACGAGAATGGAAAGAGATCCCTGTAAATTATGACTGAGATGGTTTCTTTCTTCTGCCGAATAAATTGCTTAGAACGGAACTTCGTTTATAATCACGATCTTTTCTACTACCACTTATACTATTTTCACTTTCCGATCCACTCTCGGATGGTCTTCTACCATCTACGAGTGTATTAACATTTTGAACATTTTGTGGTACTGCTGGCGGAGCTACATACGGAGGTAAAGAGGCTGGTCTGGTACTAAATGTATTATTTTGTTGCTGTGAAGTTTAAAAAGCAAATTTAATTATTGACAATTATATCTATAACATAAAATATGATTCAAAGATAAATATATTTCATTTTACCTGTCTAACAGTTATCGGTACATTCCCATACGCTGTGAACAAAAATAAAATAATCAAAGTTTGTCACTAATATTTCATAATTCATTCATAAAATACATTATAAAAAAAGCTTCATATATCTTTTAATCTATTGATTTTAATTCCACCATTTATTAAAAGTAAAAGATTTCAATTGGATTAAATAAAGGTATGAACGGAAGAAGAGGTAGGAAATTAGAATGAAGATGTAATTGCGCATGCAGAAGAATTGTATGATATATGTAAGATTTGTCTTACATTCGGTACGAAATTTGTATGAAAATGGCTCTAATGACTGACCAGGGTCATGGGGTATATTCCACTGAGCCATTCCGGTAGGTGGAGGGGCGCTCGATGGCAGGGGAGGTGCTAATTCTATAAAACCATGAAATGTCATAGGTTTCTTTTGGTGCAAATTGATCAAACCGAGGGAGATGTTGAAGTTATTATTCAAATATAGTAGTTGATAAGTACCTGAATGTTGTGTGTTCATGTCTACATTACTTTGCCTATGCCATACTTCGTTTGTGGAATATTGGCTCGATCCATTATGATTTAAAGTTGTACTGCGTTGTTGATACGATTGTGGTCTTCCTTGCTGTACATGATGATCAGAATCTGTAACATTTTACGCATTCTTTTATACATACTAGTTGACAAATAACGTTTCTTTTATTACTTTGCTTATTCGTTTGCGGTAGCTTACCATTTCTTCGAAATTGAACCATATTTTCGGAACTTGGAGATCGTATAGGAATCGGTGGCGGTGCTCCTCTTGGCGGTATGGGAGGTTTATCGCTTGAATTTTGTTGATATTGATCTCTTTGATTTGCAAATTGTTCCTGTTGAATTAACTGTTGTTGTTGCTGCGCGAGCAATTGCTGTTGTCTATGCATTTGCAAAAATTCTGTTTGCGTTTGAGGTGGTTCTGATCTCTCCGAAGCTAAGAATTCTGCATTGTGTGGATCACGGCGTTGTTGATTTTGTCGATGCTGCTGTAGAAATTCTATTTGTACTGTACTCGGAGAGCGTTGATTATTAACATCGCATCTAATAACCGAATTCTTCCGTTCCATTTCGGGTGTTGAGTTACGGCTACTTCCAGTAGATATATTATCATCTTGGTGATCCGATGGTGTGTTATGTAATCTCTCCAAGCCCTCCTGAAGAAATGTATGAGCGTTAACGATTATTTTTATGCATAATAATTCAAGTACATACCTTTTGAGAATCGTCATAGCTCAAAAGTTGTAGGCTTGGTGGCAATTTAGCATGGAAGGATATTTTATTGACCCAATCTTCCATCTCTTGTTGATTTGGAGCTAAGAATAAAAATTCTGAGCCATCTGTACACTTCAAGCGGAATACATTCTTCTTTTTCGTATAATCGTCCGCTTTCTCGCATATAGCATTAAAAATAGTTATTGGTGCGGTAGCTGCTTTGCTAAGAGAGAAATCTTCCATGTCTTTGAAGAAGCACAATAATTGCCCACATAATACTGAAATGAAACGTGTAAATATACATACATATTATAGAATATAGATATTGTAGAAGAAGAAAGCAGAGGAAAAATGTAATTACCGGTGTAATATTGCTTCCACGAGCGCACAGCGGCTTTCTTCCCAGCGCTTTGTAATTCGTGTTTCCTCTCGAGAAGACCTTGAATTTCTACGGGCGGTAAAGCATCCATGTTTTCCATTCTTTGGAGTTTCCTGAAGCTCTGTGTTCTTCGTCTGGTCGTGAAACTCGGTGTCCGTTTCGGTTTCTTTGTATCAACTTTCATACTTTCTGCTCTTTTAATATCCACATTACCTTTATAAGGAGAATTGCATTAATTTATTTCTAGCAAAAATTCTTTATAAATGATGAATGGAACATTAAATATATATTATATGCGTACTTCGTCTCAATTTATCACCAAATACATGAGGTACACCGTGTGGTTTTTGAATCAAAGGAGGCTCCGAAACATCGGCAGGAGTGGGACCTTTTAATGGTGCCAATCTAGAATAAATAAAACTTAATAAGAGAAGAACGAGTTTGTCATTAATTCAAAATTTCTTTTCGTAGTTGTACCTGTTAACGGATTCGTGTTCATCGACTGATCCATTGACTTCATCGTGTGAAGGCCGATGAGGACTATCCAGTAATCTTCTTCTTTCTTCCTCGCGTTTCCGTTCTTCGGTTATTCTTTGTACTTCTTTACGTTTTCGTTCCTCAATTCGTGCTCGTTCGATTCGTTCTTTCTCAGCTTGTCTCGCTGCTAACTCTGCTTCTTGTTGCTTTCGGAACGCTTTCTCGAGCTTCGGAAGTAAAACGTATGAGGTTTAATTTCAAGGTATTGAATTTATTGTTAGGAAAAACAAAAAATGCAACTTTTTTTATTACCATTGTTATACGATTTAGTGCGTTGAACCTTTCTTCCTGAGCCTCTATAGTTTTCTCAAAATCTTCGTGTTTTCTTATAAGTTCCTCTACTTGTGGGATGCTATCGCCTAGTTTACCATCGTGTAACATTGGTTCTCTACTAACTATCCAATTTTCCAAAGTTTCTGCTTCTCGTTTGAATAATTGTGTATCCAAATTCTGTTCATATATAAGTTTTCTTTGTTCCCATGTATCCAAAAGAATTTGTTTTCTTAAACGTAATACAGATATTTTTTCTTCAATTTCTTTTCCCAAAAAGTGGCCTTGCTCAATGAGCTCTTGGCCAGTTTTGTAGAATTTTTCGAATGCTTCCTTTCGCGTATCGATCTCGGCTTTGTATTCGTTGTGTCGCAAAATTAGAGCTTCGGCTCCTGGAACGTCTCGTGCCAATTCCGGTGCTGTTACTTTTGCCACCATTTCATTTATCCACGATAGCAAGTCTCTGTATTCGCCCATATACGATTGCAATTGTTCGGCCTGTGCCAATTTGCTTCGCCTTTGGGCAGACTTTTCCAAGAGTTCGTTCCAAGTCGCTTCAGCTTCTTGATGCTTAACGTCAATGTGTATACGTGCATCTGGGAATAGTTCGATCAAACGCAATGCTTCCTCCATCAGAGATTCGACCTAAATAAAATATAATTGCGTATAGTTACAGATTTATCAACTGCAAGTTTGAAGAAGAGATTAAGCGTATACAAGTAAATTTACCTGTTCTTTTACTGCACCTAGATCGGTTTCAAATCCCTGATGCTTCCTGACTAAAGCTTGAATAGTTTCTAAATCGTGTCCATATCCGTCAGAACTTAAAGCGGCCTCCTTTTCTTGAATCCACGAAATCGTTTCATCGGCTGTCCTATCAAACATGTGAACCTGTTTAGCACCCGCTAACGCATCTTGTCGCGCGTGTGCAAGTTCCTTAAGATCTTCCCACTGTTGTTTCGTTTCTTCAATTTTCCCAAGGATTCTAGCCTTTTCGGGATTGTTACGTTCAATCAATTTTTGACCTGCATCGAGCACGGCAGAAATTCGATTCTCGCTCGTCGTTAGGCCAGCTAAGAAATTATCAAATATTTGAATTAACAGCTCGACGTGTTCAACGTCACGACCGTAATCTTCCGAAGCAGCGACCTACATGATTAAAGAGGAACAAAAATCAGACGTTTAAATAATGCGATTAAATTAGACTTAGATGAATCCAAGAATCGTTCGATTAACTTACAGTAGTTTGATCTCCGATCCATTCGATCGCTTCATCGGCCTGTCTAATAAATTGGAAGAATTTTTCACTTTCCAGTAAACGTTGTAACCTGTGATCCTTCAAGTTTTGTAATTCTTTGAATTTACTTTCGATTTCGCCTTGTTTCTGTGCTATATTTTTGCTGTCAAAATGATGTCTCTCTATTAGACCGTGTGAGAGTTTTTTAAGATTATCTACAGTACTCTCGAAACCCGACAAATCGCGTTCTATTCCTTCCAATTTCTTAAGCAAAGACTGTACTGAATCTTCGTCCTTTCCATAATCCGTCGATGTTACTTGTGGATGTTTCTCCCTTATCCATTGTTCAGCTTCAGCAGCTTCGGCATAGAACTATACAATGAAAATATGTATAATCGTAACACACGGTTTAACATACTTCGAATAATAAAATATTATTCATTTACCATTTGCGATTCGACTGCATCCAATAAACGTAATTTCCTAACACTCGCCAAGTCTCGAAGATGCGAAAGATTTTCTTGCAATTCTTGCGACAACTTTTCGATTTTCTCCGAAGCGAAATGACCACTTCTTATCATGGCCGTTGCTCTACTGATCAAAGAGCCTACCACTGGTTCTCTGGATATCAATTCTGCTTCCAAAGCTTGATGTTTCTTTTGAAGTCTTTGGACTGTCATCAAGGAACTACCTAAGTCATTACTAGCAGCTAAAGGTTCTTTTTCCGATAACCAATGTAGCTCGTCTTCAACGTCCGCTACAAATTGGTGCAATAATTTAGCATCTTCCAAATTATCTCTTCGTATCTGCATTGGCTCTTGCAAACTGTGGTACCTATTGATGGTGGCCGAAGCTCTTTCTTGAATTTCTTCGGACATAAAGTGATTCGATTTAGCAAAACTCGCGGCTGTTTCTTTGATCGATTCGCATGCCTCGTTATGCCCTAAAACATCGTTTTCTAAATTGGTGTGCCTCTTTAAAAGATTTGCGACACTAGAAAGATCTTTTCCGTGATCTTCAGATTGCAATTGCGTTTCCACTTCATCCATCCAAGCCTCAAATTCGTCCAAAGTTCTACTGAAAAGCAAAGCTTGATACGCATCGTTCAGTCTATTCTTTTTCAATTCGCTTGTTTCTTGCAAAAGACGCCACTCCGCTTCTAAATCTTCCAAACGCTCTTGTATTTCTTTAGAAGCATAATGGTTATCTTCAATGAGCGCTTCGCCTAGTAAACATTATTATATTTTAGCGTTGTTATAATTTTACGAATTACTTTTTATATAAATATTTGGTAATGCTTACCTTCGTTAACGACTGACGATATTCTTCCTTTATTTGCTATTAATTCGCTCTCAAAAGCAGCATGTTTCTGAATTTTACTTTGTAGATTCGACGAGTCTCGGTAATTTTCGTCACTTGCCACTTGCTGCTTCTGATGCAACCATCCCTCGACTTCGTATATATTTCGAAGAAATTGATGCAAATGATGGCTTTCCAGTAATTTTTCTCTTCTAGCCGTAGCACTATTTTGCAATCTGTCTCTTCTAGCGCAAACTGACGCTAATCTCTGTCTAATTATATTAGCGTCGGCATGTTCTTCCGCCAAAATGTCATTTGCAAATTTCTCCAATTCCTCTATTCTTCCTAATTGAGATACCAGCATTTTTTCAAACTCTTCGTGCTTTCTTAGCAACGCTTCGACACCTGACAATGATTCACCGAGATCGTCGTTATTAAGAAATGCTTCCTTCATTGCGAGCCAACTGTCTGCTTGATCGGCCTGAAATGTACAAGCATGCAAGGTTAATTAATCGAGATACCTTCATTTTCTTTTTCGAACCAATCTCTTTACCTGTTCTTTGAACAATTGTAACTGATGCGCTTGCGTCAATTTCTGTCTACGAGCTTCCCACGCGTGCACGAGTTTCAATCTAAGTTCCTCAAGATGTTGTAGGCTTTCTTTAACGTCCTCGTTAATTGAAACCAATTTCTGTCCATGTTCCTTTAATGCTTTAAATGTATCTTGTCTACCATCGATCTCTGCTTTTCTTTCTTGATGCAATTCCAATAAAGCTTCAGCCTCTGAAATGGTAGTAGGTGGTTCCGACTCGTCCATTCGTTTAATCGTATCAGCAACCCAAATTTCTAGTTCATGCAAATCTGCTTCGAATTTGTGCAACGTGTATGCTTGATTTAAAGCTTGTCGACGACGTTGAGTTAATCGTTGCAATTCGGCCCAATTTGTCAGTACTTCCGACAGCATAGCGTTTATTTGGTTAGCTTTATCAGGATATTTATGCGAAAGTTTTCTTGCTTCTTCTCTATGTTCGTTCAATTTTCCTTCTATAGCAGTCATGTCTCTTTCCATTGCCTCCTGTTTCCTTTGCAATTGTTCTACGGCTGGTAAATCTTTACCAACGTCGGCGGTGTTCATGGCAACTGATTTTTCCATAACTCTTTGGTTAGTATCATCGATATCTCTATTGAATAAATGAATTTCTAATGCACCAGCTAAGGTTTCTCTGTAAGCACTTAGTGCACCTTGTAAACCTCTCCATTTATTATTGAAATTGTCACGACGTTGTTGTATGGTCTTTGATTCGTTATCGCGACCCTAACGAGTAAGAATAATACAGTATAGAATATTGCTAAAACGATTTCTTTTATGAACTATTTGATATATACATTTTTATTTACCTGTTTCATAAGTTTATCGGCTAAAGCATTGATCGCTTTTATTCGCGAATCATCCACTCTCATATCACTGTCAACATCGTCCAACTTTCTTTGAAGACTCAAACAGTGCTCATAATCTTTACCCGTATCACCTGCCTGAACCATCATTTCCTTATCTCTTATCCAAGCTTCGATTTTCTCAACTTGGTTGTTGAATTCTAATATGTCTTGTGCTTCCTCCAGGCCTCTTCCACGATTTCCAGACTCTACGAGTAGTCTTCGCCAAGAGGCGTACAATTGCACTAGTTGTTCGTGAATTTCTTTACTCGCAGGATGCTGTTGTCCCAACAAAGTTTCCCCTTTAGCTGTTTCGTCAAAATAATTCATATCAGTAAAAATAATGTGATTAAGTAATTAAAAATAAGTGATTAAACCAGATAGTCTACCTTTTATTTCTTCAATCCTACTTTGATTAGCTGCAAGCTCCGCTTGGAAGGCTTGGTGTTTCTGTAATTTTTTAATTTTATCCTCCAAACTGGATACTTCACCTTTCGACGTTTCAGCTTCCAATTTCTTTTGTTTCTCGCCAATCCAAGATTCTGCCTCACCAACGTCTCTGACGAATTGCGCGTGAAGTAAACTCGCTTCCAATTTTTGTCTACGCGCTTCGCACAAGTTACGAATTTTGACTCGCCTTTGTACAACCTCGTTTAATCGTTTATCAATCGTAGGCGAATCAAAGTGATTCTGTGCCAAGAGCTTGTCACCGTGTTCTTGCAGAGCAGTCAATTTTTCTTCTTGAGTAACGAGTAGTTTTTCAAACTCGTTGTGTTTCTTCATTTGCGCATCGACTTCTTCGACCGACACAGCAAAGTTGTCGCCACTTAGGCCAGCCTCTTGGGTACTAGAAAGATTATCTAATTGTTTAGCGTCACGCAGGAAAAAGTGTAGGTCTATCAATTGATCCAAGTGGACCTTCTTCTGTTGCCAAGCCGTATGAAGTTTCTGTCTTTCGTCTAAAAGTTGATTACATTTTTCTTCCACTTCCTGAAATCATACCATTTTGCCTTGCATACGAATCGTTTTAACGAAAAATTTTTTCTTGTTTAAAAGGCTTACCGTAGCAGCGTAATGACCGGTTTGTACCATAGCTTCGCCCAAATCTAAGACCGAACTGAAACTATCTTCTCTTGCTTCAATTTCTCCTTTCAAAGCTTCATGTTCCGCCTTTAACATTTGTGCACTAGCAGCATCTCGAACTTTATCTTCGGTCGACATAGCGGCACGAAGACCGGCAGCCCAATTCATTAAATCTCTCACCTAAACGAATCGTTTTATCATTGATATTATTTCTATGGGAAAGAAATTGATAGAAAAAAAGAAATAAAAAAAAATTACTTGAGTCAAGAATCTCTGTAAATCACAACTGGCTTGTAACTGATCCCTTCTGTGAGCAGATCTCTCTTTCAAATCTTCCCAATGTGCAACGACGATTTGTTGTTGTTGATCTATGTGCATGGCATTGTTACCCGGATAATGAACTTGCAATCTCGATGCATCCTCTACTAAAACTTGCAACTGTGCTTCCAAAGCAACGAGATCATTTTCAAATCCTTCGTGTCGTCTGATCAACGCCAATACGGAATTTAAGTCACGTCCTAAATCTTCTGGTAAGGCTGCTTCTTTTTCTTGGATCCGAGACAAAGCTTCGGCTACATCCCGATGGAATCTATGAATTTCTCCGGCAGCTTGTAAACGTTGCTCTCGATTACGAATGAGATCGAGAAGATGTTGCCAAGATTCCCTGTTAAATTTTAACCGAATAAAAATTACTAAAAATGAATTTTAACTTGTCTAGAATTTGTAAATAAATGGAAAAAGAAAAATGCATCGAACTATCTACTCGTGCGTAACAAATTCATTAAATTCTATTACCACAGGCATACCTGTTAAATACAAATAGTGAATACAGCAATAGAAAATAAACTTACCGAATGATCGCATGTTGCTTTTGTACCTGAAGAACAGGATCATCTTCGTCTTGTCTATATCAAATTATATATATAAAATACAAAAATAGTTAGTACACCAACACCTTAGTAGCAAAGTTACGACGATATTTCTTGAATGCATACAACTATTGTTCGAATCATTTATTTTACAACTGGATCAATGCATAAACTACCATATATACCAAATTTACTAAACTATCATTATAAAATCGGCAACCTTTTTCCCTTGTTACTGATCAATATAAACGTTAAATTGATACATACAAAGCATGTGTATGAAGAGATAGAGAGAAAGAAAAAGAAAAAGGTATTTAACAAAGGTTAGTTCAAACTTACCCTAACTGTTCTTGTCTTTTTTCTATATCTTGAATGTAAGGACTCTCATTCGCAATCAACTTTCTAGCCAATTCTTTGCACTGATTAAATCTCTCGGAACCAGCTTCTATTCTATGTTTAAAGTCATTAAATTTAGCTTGTAATGCCAATAAGTGTTCATAATCTTGTCCGTAATCCTCCGAAGCAGCAGCTTGCTCTTGCTCTTTGATCCACTGTTCCAATTCTCTACTTTCTAAGAAGTATTCGTGTCGATACATGCTCTCCATAAGACGTTGCTGTCTTACCGTTGCTAATTTTTGTAATGCTCTCATTTGTTGAGCGATCGCTTGTTGTTTATTGGCTATAGCTTTACTATCCGGATGTTTAGCATTAATCATCGCGGCTGCTGTATGTCCCATTTCTGATACTATGCCATTGTAAGTGTCCAATTCGAGTTCTACCGCCTGTATAGTCAAATAAACGTTTAATTTATGTTATTTCAACAGAAAGCAACGGTTGCATCGTTAAATGTTAATTCCATGCTAGCTTAGTAGAGTAATAATAGGTATTATTATAGTACCTTGTGTTTCGTTAATAATTTCGTCGCTGCATCACGATCTCTTCCATAATCGGTCGAGCTGAGCACATCGTTCTTTTCGTTTAACCAACTTTCCACTTCTCCGGCTTCAAAGAAAAATTCTTGGGCCTTCAATGATAAGTCTAACGCTTTGCTTCTTTCTCCCGCTTTATCTTTCAAATCTTTCCAAGCGTCATCTAACGAATCGCACAGCTCTCGTATCTATATCAAATGTATATTATTGTTAAATTTTTTCTTTCTTACACGATCATGCCACACACTCAGTATACACTCTGTATATTTTTGCAATTATGCATTAGTAATGCAAGAATGAAAGAAAAAGAGTGAAAAATACAAATGAGGAGGTGTTTTCGTCTTGTACTCCTGCGTGCAAGATTGAAGTATTTTTCAATCATATTGAAATAAAATGAAAATCGTTTGTTATTAAAAATAAGGCGACGCGAGACACAAATAAATCATCAGCATGCATCAATTATTCACCTTACCTCTGCGTATCGAGTTTTCATGGGGGTGCTCCGGCTATGCAAAAATGATCATTTTATTTTTGTCTCGCATTTTGTTTTCCTTCTCTCGATAGATACTCAATCATTTGAAAATTTTGCGCGTAAGGTGTGAACAAATATAATATACTAAATATACTTAGAAAAGTACCTTTTTCCTCTCAGGGTGAGCTTGCTCGATAAGCGCTTGTCCCGAAGCTAAAGTTTTGTCTATCATCGGCCGATGTCCTGCGATTTCAGCTTCCAATTTTTTATGCTTTTTGTGTAACATCTGAGCTTGATGCAAGTTTTGTCCTAGCGTCGTTGAAGAAACTTGTGGCAAGTGATCTTTTATCCATTGCAATTCGGCATCCAATTCGAATCCAAATTTATGGAAACGTAAACTTTCTTCCAACGCTTCGCGTCGTCTTTTAGCGGGTTCCTTCAAACTACGGAACCTATGCGAATGGAAAAACAAAATTATTATTATTAATTAATCCGAATGTTATAGATAAGATTTCACGTCGTTGCAGCAAACGTACGTACTTTCTCTGAGTTGCCTGGCTGCTTTTTAATATATTTGCAGCATCGAAGTGTCCTTCGTGAGCCATTTCCTGACCCATAGCAACAAGATCGTCAACTTTTTGTTCCCATTGACACATATCACTTTCAAGGGTTTGATGCTTCTTCAATAATTCCTTGCAACTACGAAGATCCGTTCCAACTTGTTTGCTTTGCAAACAATTCTCGATTTCCTCCAATTTCAATCTTGCATCCTCCATCGTACGATTGTAACCGTGTTGAGAGGCCGCTTGTCTGAGCCTACGTCCTTTTTCCAAGGAAAGTGCAACTAATCGATCCCACTGATCGTTAAGATCTTTCAACGTTTCTCCTACGTCATCCGATCTGTAATTTTCCTCCGATATAAGGGCTTTCCCTGCCTTGTTGACAGCTCTCAGTTGGCCTTCGTTGGCTCGTAATTCTCTTTCAAATGCCTCGTGTTTTTGCAATTTGCGTTCCAAGTTATTCAAATCGCGATAACTTTCGTCGGATGCCGTCTTCATTTTATCGCTCAACCAGTCACGCAAATCGTCGACTTCCGCTGAAAATTGTTGATAGTGTTCCGATGCTTTAAGTGCCGCTCTTCTTCGTTGAGCTGCATCTTTCACGGCCATTCGACGTGCCAATACTTGATTTCTTCTTTCATTGATACTGAAAATATGCAATTTATGTCGCGTTTAGATACAGAAATAAGAATTTCGGATTATTGTGAATAATAACACTGTTCAACCTACTAATCTTTGTCATAGTGATTTTGAGCGATCAATTTATCAGCAGTGTCGCTGAATGCTTTCAATCTATCGTCTTGAGCATGAAGAGTATTGTCAAATTTCTCATGCTGCTTTAGTAAACCTTCGACGTCGTCCAAAGATTCACCCAAATCGGTAAACTCTAAGAATGCTTCGTGAGAGCTCGTCGTAGCTTCGATTTGATCTGCCTCTCTGTTAAATTGCTGTAATTCTAAACATTGTTGCAACCACTCTTCCTTTGCCATCCAATCGGATGATACCGATCGATACAATCCATGAAGCTTTTCCAATCTTTCGCGAACGTCTGTCAAGGCTGGATTACGATGTATAAGCTGATTTCCAAGCTCCTCGACTTCTCGAAATCTACAAGAGTATCATACGTTACTCTCTCTCTCTATCTCTATCTATCTCTATCTCTCTCTCTCTCTTTCATTCCTTTTTTCTTAAAGTAGTTAATAAATATTGCAAATACGAACTCGTCTTCGCGGGTCTTTATCTCCTCTCCGAGTTCCATGTGGTGTTTTCTTAATTGTTCGGCAGTAGCCACATCTCTGACCGATTCTTCGGCCTTCATCGTCTCCTGCACATCCGCTGCCCAATTGATTAAATTTTTCGAACTATTCATGAATATTTGTTGGCCGACGGCATCTTCCAAACGAGATCTACGCTCCTTTGCTTTGCTCTGCACTTTGTTCCACAAATCTTTGATCTCGTTTTGTCGCGCATTTACGTTGTTTAGTTCGTGGGGATAAGAACTTTTAACGCTGTTAGCCAATAGATTTACCTTCCTTACCTGTGGGTATAGAATAGTAAAGAAATATTTTTACAAGAAAAATACAAAATAAAACGTATAGGAATATCGAGACATACTTTCTCCTCAACCGGCGCCAATTCCCGTTCCAAATGCTGGTGCCTTCGCTGCAAAGCTTGAACAGTTTTTAAATCGGGTCCTAGTTCCGCGGTATCCAGTTGCGTGATTTTTTCCAACATCCAATCGTGAGCTTCGTCGCACGTTCTGTTAAATAATTCTACGCTAGATGCACCTTCCAAGCTTTTTTCCTTTTGAGTTTTCAGCCAGTTCAAATGATCCCAAAGCTGATGAATATGTCTTTGCCTGGCTTTAACTTTGTCCAATTGACTGTGACCCTGCCTGACGAATTCGTCGACTGCGGTATCTATAGCCTCAACGCGTTTCCCCGATGCCGATAAATCAGTCAAGAATTTTTCGTACTTTCGTTTAGCCGTTTCCACGTTGTCGCGAGGATCGTCGGTACGAAGCATTTTTTCCTTGTCCTTTATCCACTTTTCAAAATCGTCGCATTCTCGGTAAAAACCGTACAACCTAATGGCGTCTTCCAACAAGGCGTGACGCTTCAACGCCAATTCTTGCAATTCGCTGTAAGTGTCGTTGATCTTTTTCTGACGTTTCTCAACGCTATCGCCGTCATTAACGGCTTTGCGTTTGATAGGTTTAACCGTAGACTTGATGGACTTGACCCTTCTTACAGGTACCACTTGTTTGACCATTTTGGTTTTCTTAACCCTTTGCGTAACTCTGACTTTTTCCGGTCTTCTCATTTGAACGGATATCACTTTGGGCTCGATTTCGCGCACGTAATTAGCTGGCACGAAACCGTCGGTGCCATCAGCTTTCCTGACATTCCACCAATCAAGATTGGTCTTATGCAAAAGGAACATTACTTCGCCTTTAGCCATGTGCATGCCTTTGCCGGTGAACGGATATAAACTCTTTACTTGAGGCACCAATCTTTCTTCGTGAATGGTTTTTGGTTCTAATCGTTCAACGATTTCGTCAACCCATTCGTCCTGAGGTACCAATCGTATTTCCTTACTCCATTCTTCCTGTTCCAATTCTGCGACAGGTTCTGGATCTGCCGACAACTCGAGCGTGGAGATTCCTGACTTGATCAACTTCTCGGCTTGCATGTTCAATGATTGAACGTCGCCTTTGTAAGCATTAAGTTCCCCTTCTAAATCTTTATGTCTTTGTAAGAGCGCTTGAGCACTTGGCTCGTCCACGCCGTAATCTTCCGAAGTAACCAGAGCCATTTTCTCATTCATCCACGAATCCGCCTCGTTCGCGTCGGCATAAAATTGAAACGCTTCGGCTGCGTCGTCCAATTGTTTTTTTCTCAAGGCAGCCAGCTCTTCCAAAACCTTCCAGTGTTCTTGCAACGAGTCTATACGATTTTGAATTTCTAAAGAGGACGGATGATTGTCGGCTATCAATCTTCTACCAGCCTCGCACAATTGTTCAGATTTTGGTCTACGTACTTTCATCTCGTCCTGTAAGACTTTATGCTTTTGTTGCAAGGAAATAACGGCGCGTAAATCTTTCGCCGATATTCCAGCCTTGCAAATACGTTGCTTTTCGATAAGCCACGATTCCTCGTCTTCGTGATCTTGTAAAAAGTGGAAAAAATTTCTGGCATCCTCGAGACGAGCTTTTCGTTCTTTGCTGTATTCTACGAGCTCGTCGTAGGCACGATTAAGTAGATCCAATTTCTGTTGCAAAAGAGGTACTTCCTTGCTTTGTGGTTGAGCCAAATGTTGAGCAGCCTGTCTACCCAAACGTCGTTGACTCTCTCCCAATGCGGTTACTTGTAATTCTTGCAAACTGTGCTTTTGAAGAAGATCCTCGACTCCCAACAAATGAGGACCAACATCCGTACTTTGGAAATTAAGTTGTAACTCTTGAATGGAGGCCAGAGTCGTGTCGATCTCTCTCATCAAACTCATTAGAGAGGAGAGAGCGACCAAATTGGATTTGTGATGATCTAACAGTGCCAACAATTCTTTCCATCTTTGCAAGACTTCCTGTTCTCTCACTCGTACCCTTTCCAGTCCATGATAATTCTCTCTAACCAATTCTTCTGACATGTTGGTTAAATCGTGAAATCTTTCTTCCCGAGCTAGAATGTCCGCGCTGATAGCCTCATGTTTTTTCACCGTAGCGTCTACCTGAGCAAGATTACTACCGTATCTCGGATCAGTCAAAACCTGAATCATTTCTTTCAGATAACCTTCCCTAAGTACGCTCTTTCTCTCAAACTTGTAATTCAATTGCTCCAATCTTTCCTGACGCAAGAGTTCCGTTCTGAGGGCAACTTCTCGGCGATGCTCCGCTCGTTCCAACTCGACCCAATTCCTCTCGATATCGTGAACGAGTTGACCCTCTTGCGGCGTGAAGGCCGGTTGGTTCAACGATTTCAATTGGGTGTTTATGTGAAAATACAAAGCCTCGATTTCCGATCGTTCCTTGTACTTGGGTGGCTTCTCCACAGTTCTGTATTGTTTGAAAGCCAAGAGTTCCCTTTGAATACCTTCCAGCGAATTGGGAAAATTTCGATTCTCTAAATCTTGGATTTTTAGTTTGATCCACTCAAGCAAATCGGTCGTCAATTTTTCATAGTGGATTTTCATCTTATCGGCGTCCATCATTTGACCAACGATCTGAAAATATTTATATTAATATGTGAGAAACGATAGATCATTTTAATCCTTGTCCTCTTTAGCATAGCTATACCTACGTTAGCGATTCTCTTTCCGCTTTTAATTTCGTTCTTCATCCTGGCGAAGGTATGATAATAGGACGCCACATAAGTGATAATAGACTTTTCGTCGGGTCTAGCAGTATCAACATCCTCGGCATCCAACAATCTGGGTATGCCGAGTTCCGAATTTGCCACGTCGAAAGCATAATTCAAGTTGTCGATATTCTTGTTTTGCTGCAATTCCGACCAATTTACCAAGTCGGGCCTGTGTGCGTGGATAAGAGCGTTGAAACCGAGACCGCTTCTCCATGAACCTGTTTGACACAAATTACGTCTTTCTTTATTTCTTTCCTTTCTCCCAAGTACACATTTGCTACTATAATAACGTTAACGATAATTCAAATTCTCGTCAATAGGTTTTCTTACTCACCCGTAAAATCTTGAATGTTGACGCCAGGATAACCATTGGTCTTCCTTTGGCACCAAAGTAATAAAGCATCCTTTGCCGATTTCTTCTCGCTGCTGTCATTTTCTTCGTCCACGTCAATCTCAATCTCTTGTATTTGAAATCTCAGAATAATGGTCCAGATTAATCCGAGTATCAGTCTAGGATTCCCATCTACTATGTCTTCCGCTCCTATACTTTCCAAACGAACCTACATAATAATATTAATGTAACAGGCATGAGAAAATACAATGATTCTTTCCAAATAAACTTTCTTTCATTTGTTCTTACAACGCGCGATATATAGGTCTTGAAGAGACGTTGCTCACGTCTACAACGGTGAGAATAACTCTAAATGAATAGTACCGTAACAGAAGATCGATTCGAACCAATTGAGCCAAGTACTGGAAGAGAGATACCGTAATTAGACATCGAACGGTGTTTTCTCTCGTTAAGAGAAACTAGAGCAATTACTTGCTTCGAGAGATCGATCGTAACAAACGAAACACATCATTCCCATTGCGAATTAACATATCATCTCACGATTTCTCCACAAAAAGAGAATTCAAAAAGTATAGAAGAAAGATTTTTCTTGAATTTGGGGGAAAGAAATTGTTTGAATCTGATGGGCCTAGCCAGCCAGGAGACCAGCCAGCCAGTTCGCGAGCTGGAATGCTGTCCGATTACTCGTGCGCCGTTCTATCAAGGCCGCCCCGCTGGGAAATGGAAATGATTGGCTTTTGCCGAGATCCAAAACAAAGAAAACGCGGTACGTCACCGTTAGTAGGTGAGCGTCACGATGAACGGAGGAGGCTAACGAGAGACCCAAGCAACTTCATTTCCTCCTATCGAACGGGAAGGGTGGTGGACGTCAACAAGTACTCAAACTCGTTTCTTCTACCTCCGCGTATAGGATGATCCTCCTGTTCTTCTATTTCGGAAAAAGACCAAGTAGAATAATATAAAGATCTTGTTCCCGTATCACGCCACCGGGATCTCTTTAGCCTAAGGATATCAAACAGCAGCCGGCTGGCTTACGGTTTAGTGCGTGAACACCAAGCGGGAACGTTTGAAAATCTACACTCTGCGTAAAATGACGGAAGACAGAAATCCAAATTTATTTTTTCTTTTCCGACAATTTTCAATATCCCGTAGCTGAAGTTGTGTTGCGTACACAACATTTTTTCCTTAACTATCTCATAATCCCTCTTGCGTAACATTTTCAAGATATGCGCGCTGCATTCTTTGCGCTTGAGAAAGTTTACAATAGCGTCTTGATTCTACGATGAACACCGGAACAATTTCCTCCTTGCTGGAAATTGTTCTTTCTTTTTTTTCCCTTCAAGAAATCATCGAGCACAGAGAAAACAATTGGAGCGATTGTTTTAACTTTGTTGAATTTCCGCAAGTTTTTGTTTTACCTACCAATTTTGGATATAAAGAAATGTCGAAATCGATGTATACAAGGCATCGTGGACCCTCTTGGGGTGCACGATCGATAAGACTTATCGCGAGCAATTTGTCGAGGATGGAAAAAAAGTCATCGTGATTCATTCCCCTTGACGATTATCGGACGACGACTCCCATAGGGCTAATGAGATCTTCCGTTGGCATTAAATCAGTATTCACTGATTGATAAAATGTATTTTTTGTGGATATTATTGTCAAACGATTTCTACTTTCCGTTAGATATTGAAGGTTCGATCTTTGAATGTCTATCGTTGCGTGCACTCACGTTACAAGTCGAGCTTCAGCGACGTATGAATAATGAATGAGCCTTGGGCTGCATTGTAAAGCGCGAGAATACGGTACCCACAAAAGGAAGAACAAAAATAAGCGTGTGTTCGAATTTGCTTCGATTTAAGAAGACGTGCTTGGGCTAGGATAGGATGGGATATGATGGGATGCTTTCATCGGTTGTCCGTATTGTTACACGCCTTGAAAATCGATGCCCGGCTAATGGAAACATTAAGGCTAGTTTTAAAGACACAGCTCGTACCGTACGTACCGAGCTTCGCCAAGTCGAAGGAATGGGAATAGCATTCCTAATGCATTTAACGTGGAATGCGACTCCTACGTCGAACGTTCACTGGTTCGAACAAACCGAGAGGCGAATAGCGTGCACGTGCGCGAGTTGACCGTACGACCGACGGCTCGGCTCGGCTCTCCTTCCTCCAAACTTACTATACTTCTCCCTTTCTATCATATAATTGTCCTCTACTAATCGGAAATGCGTTAAGTAATACTAAACTTAATTAAGTTTGTCGATAAGAAGAAGATTATGCGTTTAATAAGAATTGGATTGCATTCCTTGCTTGATATCGCAAACACCTCTTTAGTTTTCTCGCAAAGTACAACAGTTCTTCTTTATTCTATTTCCTTTCCACGCGCACCTTTCCAGTTGAAGTATCTCTTTTATCTGTTTAAAAGCTGGGCCGCCTAGCGGTTTTCCTGCGTCGTCTTTTCGCCGGTACATTCTCGTCGAGAACTACTACTAGAAATGCGAATCGGTGTGAGGCCAAGCGAATGACAAAGTCAAGCATCTCTCTCTTGGCTGTTTATTTCTTAATCCTCTAAAGAGACTTACAAAATCCTTCGGAGGGCTTTCCTTAACGGGCTTCGAAGCACGGCTTTCGACCACGATGATTCCTCTCTTGCGGTATCGACGTTGACGACGCCTCGTTCAACCTTGTACTCTATAACCATTCACGAATATCGCAATAATATCGTATAACCGGTAAAAACAAATTTAACTGTCTTCCTAAAGTATTTTTTTTTTTTTTTGTAGTTTTTCTATCATTGCGAAATTGTGTCGACGATACAGTTTGTTAAATGAGATAATAAATTTCGCATTGTACCCCGCGAGTCGATCTTTGCACCATGCAATCATTCCTCTAATTAAAGACAACTTCTCTCTACTATGTCGTCAAAACAATGCCGTCATCCGTTGATTTGATTTTTTTTCTAACTAACTAGGATAAAGGATGTCAGATCGGCTAACATCTAGAGTCTAAGCATGGTCGGATAAATAACGACGTTTTCTTCTTATTTTATTGCAATCGAACCGACAAAAGGGTTATCGCATATGAGTACAAAGTTTTATTCAATGACACAAATACCTCTACCGAGGTCATATGTCATTTCTATTTCAATTTTCTTTGTTTTTTTTTCACACGCTCGAGACTTTTGCACGATGATCTCGTAATGAAGACGAGGAAAGTTACGGCGGCTTCTCTCTCGCTTTCACCCGATCTTTCTTTCCTTTCCTTTCCTTTCCTTTCCTTTCCTTTCCTTTCTTTTCTTTCATATTCGTCACTGGAAACAGGTTTTATCCGATATTTGCCATAGTCCGTTTCTCTTGGACATTGCTTAGAAAAGAAACGCATCTATTTGACATTAACGGTACTCTACAAAACAGATATATATTTTGAAATATCAACAAATTATATATATTTTAAGAGTTTTCTAGAAAAAGATTAGTTTTCCAGGATAAGAATGATGATCATCTATCGGTAAATCTTGGATCTTCGTGCAAGTTACGAAAAAAAAGACTTTAACCAACCGGTCCTCCTTTCTCGAGGTGTGCTGCTTGACTGGTCAGTCTAAACACTATTGTCTAACATTCAACGATAGCGCATAGAGTTCGATGTATGTGCTCCGTCTGGTTTCATTTCACATCTGCGGGGCTCACGGTCTAGCAAGTTTTGCCTCGGTCGGTGAACCCTTCTCTCCCCACCCCTTTCTCCAAGCCTTTTCTTTTCTTCTCAGATGCGTCCCCTTTAGAGACTCCCATTCGGTTCTTTTTGGTTCTCTCTCTCTCTCTCTCTCTCTCCCTCTCTCTCTCTCTCTTCAATTCTTATCCTGCCCTTCGTGACTTTACACTCTATCTTGCTCTTAACCGATACCCCACCTGTGATCCGTATCTTTCTCCCTTTTTTTCTTCCGAGGTATATTTCGATTTACTAACGCGCTTGAAAACTGATAAAAAAAAGAAGCTTCTCCCTTAATGTATATTCAAATGATAAGTACGATTATGTTCGATTAAACATTTTCCAATAACGTAGAATAAGTTTAATGAAAGCGATGCAAAATAGTGTGTGCAAACGTGTTGTAAATACTTTACGGGTCTCTATCGGTCAGCGACTTTCACTCGGCACCTGTGTGTTCATTCCTACAAATCGATTTCTGTTCCTATGCTTTTCACGATTAAATATCGATGTTTATAACAGGCGCCAAGAAATTCAATTCATTCTTAAACGTATTGGCAAATTAAATTTATTCCTATAATACTTTTACTAGATTAACACGCAATCGATTTTATTTTTCTACTTTGTAAAAAAATAAAGCTTTTTAAAAGATTAAAACGCGTCAACGGAATGTTTGTGACAATCGGTAGATGATCATCATCTAGAAATAGTTAACAATTTTTCGCTATTAAAAAATAAAGTTGTTATCGATCGTAAACTATGATAAGGTATCGATTTCATTTATCGATAGATTGAACGTACTTGAAAATAATTGACAATTCCAATAAAGAATGTTGTAAAACTATATTACGGATAGAATTTACGTTGATTTAATCTTTTTTTGATCGATTAGAGAAAAGAAGAGGAAAAAAAAAGAATAAATTTCTTTGTAATGCCGACGAAACGATGCACACCTGTGTGTCAGAGCCTTTAATGGAAAAAGGGTATTCAAGAAGCAGCACGCGAGATACAGGTTTTCCAATCCGCTATTTCCTACTTTTATCCGATAAAGGAAAAACTATTTTTTGTTTTATCGTTTAGTTTCAATACCTAATTTGGTTAAACGTTCGATCAGAAATGTCGACTATAACAACAGGAGAACGAGACGATTCCACGATCGATTATTATTCGTCATAAATTATTTACCGAGCGTATACGGGTCATTGATTGCAGTCAATGACTGGGAAAGAATATTTTTACTCCGAAGAATATGAAAGAAGCTTTCACGGAAGAAAGCGCGCCTCTTCCCAAGCGAGCCAATTTCTTTTTTTTTCCACGCTCCATCGATGCCTTCTTCTTCTCGATTTTGTATATTTTTATCTACACTAGACAAATCTTTCAATAGTTGTGACACATTCAATTGAATTTTTGTAAGTTTCGTTCCAACCGAAAGCTTTGTTAAATTGGTCACCGTGCTGTCTCAACTTGTCTTACGGTGGTCTTACGATGGTGTCTTGCCTCACCCACCCGGTTCCCTTTCCTTTCCCCTCCCTGGGCCTGGGGCCACCACGACTAGACTTTATCCTCCCTCATCCGGTTCTCGAGTCGAGACCCAGACAAACTAACATAAGCCGACAACCATCCTTCTCTCTAAATACGTTTATACTTTGCTGCCTGCACGTAGTGTGTGTAGATAAAACTGTTATGTCATATAGAGGCCATTCACGTATAGGGAGTACATACTTGCGTGGCTTCTTAGAGAGGGAGAACTTTGTCACGTCTCGGAATTGACATTACTGAAATAATTTGACCAACAAAGAAAATAATAAATGAATTTACCTTTGTATGAAGAAACGCCAAGGATTTGTTAACATTTTCTATCTTGTGTACTCGCATACGTCCATTGTTGGGTTTGGCCAATCTTTCTCCCGAAATGATTTCTAACAATTTCAGTAATTTTTTGCCATCCGCTAGATCTGTGAATAGATCGTCCACTTCCATGCGTGCCTAAAAAAACCACGATTATCGTAGGGTGTTGCAATTAAAGTTGGACGTCGAGTGACACGGTTTTAAGCAGAAGTCTGCAATCACCTTTAAGAGGAAAGAATTGATCCATTTCGTGAACGTCTTTTTCTGTATGTGCAGACGTTCCTCTTGCAGGGCCTTTATGCGGCCCTGCTCGAACTTGAGGACGTCCTCCCTCTGAGTCATTCTCTTCTGTATAACTGGACCACCTCTGTATCTGTCGACTCTCGGCGGTGGATACGTGGGGAGATACTCGAAATTGTTAGATCTTCCTTGGGGTACGACGCCGTGTCCAGGGCGGGGCTCATGCTGCGCCCCTGAAACAAACATTTTTTCATTCGTTAGAAAATGACTTACTTTCTATTTCTTAGCTTCCAAATACGCTCGAGTAAACACAGAGGGGGATCGCGGGATTCCAAATGTTTTCCAGATGAAAATCCTACACGCAATATACCCGACAGGAAGGATATATCCGATTTATTCCTAAAATTCCAAACAGAGGAGGAAAACGTTTTAAAATAGAACATTTTTTTTTAAACGAACTCTCCTCTAACGACGGTACACCCCTCTCCTTGAACTTATTTTTATCCTAAACAGGAAATAAGATTGTTTATTTAACTGACGGCAATGAAAAATGTAAATATTTAGTAATTTGTATTTATCCCTTTTCCTTGTTTAGTGCTAGAAACATTTTCATGACAAGCGGAAATAATTGAGAAAAGGGCGCAACGTTACACGCTCGTTACGACGCGCAAATATTTTCCCACGTGGTTGTGATTGCAACAACGATGAAAATAAGAACGAGCTAAAGAAGAAGATGAAGAAGAAGATGAAGAAGAAGATGAAAAATAAAAAGCAAAGACGAGGCAATCTCGGCTTGTAGTAGCCACCACCATTCGGCCCTTTTGTAGACGTTGAATCAAATAGGCAATTTGCTTTCGCATTCACGTTCACGCTCTTCTATACACCGCGTGGTCCATGCGAGAAAGTTGAAGGAGAGAACTCAAGAAAAACTTTATGACAAGGAGGAGAGAGCCGACGTGGCGAATACACACGGAATACCAGTGACAATAACCGAGGACAATAATTTTGCAAAGTCACGAGGCTGAACAAGAAACGAGCTAGCAGTAGCGCTGCTACAATATTTTGCACTTGCTTTTATTTACTTCTAAAGGAGCAATTGTCGCGGGGTTCTGTCTCCTATTTTTCCTCTTCCCTCTTCCCTCTCCCTCAAAAAAAATTCGTTCGAGTCTGAATGCATCTCTCTATCAAGCTGTCCCTAAACCGTCAGGATTTCAATTTATTTATTCTCATTTGATTAGGAAAACTATTAACAGTCAAACAACTCCTAAGAAAGTAAAGAATTCGCTTTAAAAGAAGTTGTTTTCTTATATATATACTGATGCAGTAAACGCGACCTTTTATTATCTTGGAGCGTGTGTCGTCGCACTTTGCTGCACCCTCATGTTAAAGCCTAACTCCTTGAATAGCGAAAGCTGTCCAATGGAGTATTTAATTAACGCTTATCGAATGAATCGGTGCGACCGGTATATGCAACTTAATGGAATCTTGATTATTATCTTGGTAACAATGTACAAACCGCTCATCGTAAAGATGTTTCATTCCAATCGTTACGAGCCAATAAACTTGCTATTCGTTAAACAGACCAGTTAGTAATTCATTAAATTACCGAGTTTAGAAATGATGCTACGTTGTCGAATTATGAATACGCAGAAGGGCTCAAATGAGGATGACTTATCGACTTTCCTTTTATCTTTAGAAGAAACCGATAAGATATAACGCGAAAAATGTCGAGCCAAGCGCTTACTTTTGCTCTAAACTATGCGATATTTTGAAACCTAACAAACATCGTGTTTTCTTCTTTATTATTTTTTAAGATTTTTCTTAATTAGCAATGAAATCAGGTTGATAAGTAAAATAACATTACGAATGAATATCGATGATCTCATTATGTCTTGTTTTGTCGCGTTAACGAAGAGATCAAATTTGTCATCTTTAATTCTATTCATAATTACAAGCACACAAGTTGCATGTTGTTTTTTCTGTTTCATTTTAACGATACGCCTTATCGATGTGTATTAATCGGATAAGTTATACATGGTGTCAAATTCGTGATATAAACTGGGTGGTATCGAATGACTTCGTAAAACGTATTACACGAATAGTTAGGAAGAAGATGGAACAATGACGATGAACGAGTGACACCGTAGATTTGATTAGACCACTTAACCGACCACCGCCCGATATAATATCCCTATATATATATATATATACAAGCTAATTTCTTTTTTCTAGCCGATGAAAAGCACGTAATATGATTGTAAAACATGTATAGCAAATTCTTTGAGAATGACGTTTCATGAAACACTCCTTTCCTCTCTCTTTCTCTTTTTCTTTTCTTATCGCACCGATAGAAGGAATTTTTGTCATTTATCTTTTCAAGAAGAGCAAAGGAGCAACGACGACGATGAACATGAATTGCTATTTTCCAAGGACGCATACCATACCTATATGCGTATGTCATATGAGAAAAGGGTTTTTGATTGTCTTTTGACGTACATATACACGACAGGTACGACGTACAGGTGTGGTCGTTACGAAATATTTATTCAAAGTCGTAATCAATATAATTTTGAATCTTCGACTCGAAGCTAATTCAAAAGAAAGTAAAATATTCGAGAGGATAAATGGAAAAAGAATAAAGTTACAAATTAGTTGTAGAAAAAAATAAAAGTAAAAGAAGAAGATTAACGTTTACCGTAATACTTGTAATAATTATTGTAAGCCATCTTAGAAGATTCTAAAAGGCTGGTTAGCGCGATAGGCGAAGAGAAACTTTCTAGTGCGTTCCCATTCGAAGAGGAATATCCATCGTCGGATCTTTTCGGTTTAAAACCGTAAAAGGCACACTAAGAGAGAGAGAACGTTTATGCTACTATGAACGGTAACGCGCAACTACTACTGGTTCAACTGTTGGCTGCCAAAGACATCACCGACTGACAGCAAAACTCTTATCACGAGTGTGCGCGAGTATATGTATATCGGCCAGTTGTTTGCGTTAAAAAGAATCACGTATGTACGACCAACCAACGACCATTGGCGTAAAAGACAAATTGTTAGATTATTTTTTTAAAAAATGATAATAGGATTATCTCGCATATTATCGATACAACGAATTAAGTACACCGCTAGTTTGCAAACGGTGTAGTAAGTAGTAGTAGACGGGTATTAAATGACTGGAATGGGGAACCCCCTTCCTAGAGAGGATGTTGGGAGGCGATGCAACGAGCTCATTTTACGATTTCACTTTATACTGTCACTGTGTGGCCACCCTGCTTATTTAAAAGATTAACAATCTCTGTTTTCGTCTACTAAATACAGCCCACTTAACAAATAAACAAAAAGTGATTAACGAGCCTGCGCCTTGGACCACGTGTATTTGGAACACAGTTTTTTTGCAACTTTTTGCATTGCGGAAATACGCTAAATGAAGGGACAAAGGCGAATCCCCGTCTGCTCTTATAGTCCACTTGTTGAGCTTGTAATTAGTTTAATTCAACTCTCTCGATGAGATCACGTTTGAATACTAGTGCGCAACATATTATACTTGACTAATAACGATTAAAAATATAAGAGAAATTTGAAACGTGGTGATTGATTGATATTAATCGTCGAATAAATTAACAATATATTATCTTCTCAATTGACAATATGATAAATTATATATCTAGCACGGAATAAAAAATACTTGTCTTATTCCTAAAACGTGGAATATCCCAGGTCAGTGAAGCGGAACATCATCGATTGAAAGCACATTTCTAGACAAACTCGAAAAAGTCTACATGTTTGGCGCCACGTATATTTAAAACACGTCCAGACGAACGAATGATAATGAGCATGAGAACGAATAGTCTATGAAGGAACGAGTTTAGAATTTAGATTAACCTGACATTATCAAAGTTCTACCTAAATAATAAAAAAAAAACTTTCAAAGTTTTCTTCCTATCTGTGTTAGATTTTTTGATTCGAAAAAAAAACACGTTGCAAGTCTCTGTTTGTTTAATCTTTTTAACGAACTAAATAACACGAAGAGAAGAAGCTCGCGATTACTTATTAGCTTATTTCCTACAAAACGGTAAATCGTGATGGCATGTTAATTAGAAATTATGAGTTAGAATCACGCGACTATTACTTTAATGAGTGAGCGTAGTAATAATTACCTTTAAATGAAAATTATGAAAAGCGAATTATCGATATAGAACAAATCTAATAAAACAGATTGATAATACAGTAGAATTTGAACGAATTGAACATTTTGCATACTCTAGAAGAAATCGAATTGTTTTGTAGGTCGCACGTTAGTTACCAATAAATGCCATTCGAACGAAGTAAAAAAGCATACATTGTTACCGTGAGGAAGTGCGAAATTGCACCGGAAATACGGTGAACGCATCGAAAAAGAGGAAGGTGAAAGAGAGAAACGAGAAGACCGGTCTCGTCGCGGTAGTAACGAAATAGGAGCCGTATTATTATCGGTGTCCGCATCAACTCCAACTCCAACTCCAGCAAGTCCAAGTCCTATAGATAGAAGAGATTACTCTCTTCTAACTTATAAAAGTAAGTGTGTAAAGTAGTCTCTCTATCGAGAGAAGAGGAATCCTCCTCTGTCCCATGTATGTAACGCTTTCTGTTGACATTGATATCACGGGCAAACATATATTCGTTGACAAGCACACACGCGCGAATACAAACATCTGTGCGATAGGGAAGAGAGGGATAAACCATGCTCTCTCTGGGTATGGCTTGCAAGTTGAAAACGTATGACGACATGTCTATATTTGGCCTGGGACCGACATTCTATCCACATATACGACAATGGATATTACGTTCTAACTCGACCTTTTTGCTTTTTTTTTTCTATTTCTTTTTTCTTTTTTCCTTTACTATCTATTCATCCGTAGTCTTCGATCGTGTGTAGTAAATAAGTAAGTAAATAGAAAATTATTCTCATATATTATTCTCATATATTCTCATTTCTTCTGCGTGGGATTACATTTTTTATACCTTGACGAATCCTTGAGGAAAACTCTCTGGTTATGTTTTACTAGTCAAGGGACGACAACTGAAGAATCGGAATTGAAGAAGAAGAAGAAGAGAATAATCGAGTAAACGCGATAGTCCAACGTTCCTGCTGTCCTCGTGTGCCAACGTAAAATTAATATTCAGCTTTCACCTCGAATGGTGGCTCGTCCATCACTTCTTAAAACGTAATTATTGCAGTCGATACTTCTGGGTT